TAATGCTAAAAAGGCCAAATGTGTAAATTAATTTTAAGATTGTTATGTTGAAATTAATTATTATTTAAAAAAATATTAACGTAATTTGTTATTTTAAAATTTTATTTTAAAAAAATTAATTTAAATTTAACAATTTTTATTAAGTTTTGTTAGATGATTACTTTTAAAGTAAATTTAATAAAAAGTTAACAAATAATCATTAAAAATAAAAATTTGAGTTGATAAATTACACTAATATTTTTGGATAAAAATTTACTTTAACTTGACAATTTTAGAAAGAAATCTGCTAAAAAAAGTAAAAATTATCCTCCGGCAGCTCCGCACCATCACACTAGGTAGGAAATAACACGCAAGAGGAAGGAAACGTTTTGAGATTTAACCAAGAATCGAACGCTTTTTATTTGAATGAACAAATTATTGATATGCCCATTAAAAAATTAAATGAGAAAATATGTTTTTTAACTTCAAAATAAAAAACGATACTTAACTAACTGTACTAAAAATGTATTTATATACATTTGTGACTAGGAGTCTTATGTCCACATTCAAAGAGTTTTGATTGTTCGGATTAAAAACGTACACTTTATTCTTCAATAAATACCCAATTTAGCTACATGGTTTAGACTCTGCTGTAAACTATGACTGACTGAGCTTGAACAGCTGTGAACAGTGCACGGGACCTGATTGGGAATCAAACAGGTAAGCAGGCATCCAATCCAAGTTTTTTGTTTTGTGGACTGAAACCGTGTACTTTGCCCTTTGTGACTGCTATTCTCCCTGGTTAATGAAAGCTAGCACTGGTCGGTAGAAGTGGAACCCCCACCCCCCTCCCCACAATTTGACCAATTTTCGTACATCAATTGAAGCATGCTGGTCTCCAAAAGGGATTGCAATCCACTTCCTTTGTTGTACGTAAGAAATGCTTTAATTCTCACCTCTCACTTTATCTGTCCCCTTCTACCTTTTGCTTCCCCCTTTTTTTTCACTTCCTCAGGAAACTTGCAAACAACTCAACTTTCTCAATGTAAGGGAGGGATTATGAACCATACATGAATGATTGAACCGAGTCAACCAACAAGTCAGTTTGGCAGAAAAGGATTTGAAAGGTTTACGATTGTTCGGTTAAACTTTGTTTTAATTTCTTAACTTAGTTAATTTTATTTTATTTTTATATTTATAATTTGATTAAAGAATAATTATTACTCTTTAACTAATTAACAACTTTTTTTATAAAAAATTAATAATTGATAATTAATTTTATATATAATAAAATTCAATGAATGCATTTAATAAAATCTAAAGTCATAAATAAAAAAGATATTAAAACCATATAAAATGCATGAGTAATATCCATATAATGCATGAGTAATGTACGAATAATGCACAAATAAATACGTTTGATGCATGAACTTAAATAATTAACTTTTGTTGTTGTTTTATGCTTTATTTTCTTTAATTTTTTTTTAATCTTTGTTGCACAATGATAGGTAACCATCTCACATCTTTTATCCCACTTCACCCGTATACCATGCGATTCAAACTCAAAATCTCTTATTTCCAACGAAAAGAAATGACCATTAAACTATTTAGGTTGTTGGCATTTCTTTTAAATTTATTATGAAGAAGAAGTAAAGCAAATTTGGGAGAAGATGTAGGACTAGGAAAACCAAACTGGGGAAGGGAGGCTTTCTATAATTAACAGGAATGGTGGGA